ATTTTCAATGAGATACGGTCTCCAATTGGTCGCATTTCTCCTAACTCCTGAGCGTTTTTATCTCAGATTCTGCAGTGACGTCATCACTGAAACATTATCAAACAAGGTTCAAATAATTATTTATAATATTAAAAAAAAATTGCCAGAATATTGACTAAGTCGCATAGACATTTTATTTTCAAATATGGTCGATATTAATGCACTTTGAAAATAAAAATCATTTTTTTCAACATGATCCCAATTTAGGCATTTTGATTTTTTTTTTCAGAGTACGTTATTTTTTCAAATATGATAGACATCAACTTGGTCCCAATTCAACGCACTTTGAATATTTTTTTTTCAAGGAACGTTATTTTTCAAAGTGCATTGTAACAGGGGATGTTACTCCTCCTAACTGATCTCACCTCTGAAAATTCTAAGAATCCGTTCTGATGTCCTTTTCACATAATTTGTATCAATTGTTAGTACTTTTAACTGTTGGAACTGATTAAGACTTTAAAATAATTTTCTGGCTTTTTACATTTTTAAGTCAAATAATTGATTAAGCGAAGTAATTTGAACCTATTTTTTGTCACAATTTTTAATGTGTCTCTTAAAGATAAAATAAGAGTATATTGGGTCCCATGATTTATTTAGATAAAAAAATATTAGGTATATATTCAAAGGATGTGATTTATGTTTAATAAGATATAAATTCAGCGCATTTTTATAACGATCAAATTAAATGTACTGAAGTGTCGAAACAAGCACATTTACACATCTTTTAAATTTTTATTTTTAATCAAGCTATGGAGTAGATACAAAAATATACTTGACAAAAAATTCTTCGTATCCAAATGAAGAAATGTACAAAAAGATATATCCTTTTTTTTTACTCATAAGGATTAAAAATCATAATTTTTTTTATTACATTATACTGCATGTGTACTTAAAAAGCGGGCTTCATATTTTAGCGGCTTTGGAGCATACAACGATGCGCTAATTCATGAATACCGCTAAGAAACCATTTATATAAACAAAACACAGCACTAATTCATGATTACACCAACAATTCCATACCCAGTGACTGCGCTAAACTTTGAATACGCCAAATTATGTACACGTACAGTATTTTTCTAAAACCTGTAAAAGTTGAGTTCACTTTGCACAAAATTTAAATCCATGTGTTTTTAAAACTAAAACGCATTTTCACCAGGTTCCAAAGACTCGTTCACAATCAAGGTCTATTCCACATACAATCTTTAACCCGGTACATCTAGTGACATTTCACTGTAGCATGTTCTAGCCAATTTTGTCATCGATAATAAGAAAAACACGTCACTTTTTGTGTTGATCAAATGTCATTAATTATTAAATCCTCTAACAAGGCAACTTTGATTGAAAAATGAAAAATTGTCTTTACATAAACACTAAATGTATTATAAATCTTTTTTTCCTTTTACCGTATACTGGTTATGTTGGACTTATTTCTTTAATATAAAGGATTTTACAAATTAATTTACAAGGTATTTACAAGGTACTATATTTCGGTAACCCTTTCCCCCTAATAACTGAGTAATATAATTGATTTCAAAATATAATAAAGTTTGTATTTTTTATTTTTTGATTTAATTGTTACTTTTAAGTTAACATGGATTTACAGACACAAAGGCATTTGTGTTTAATAATATGTTTTATTAATTAAAAAATACGGGAAAAAATGAGAATGCAATAAAAGCAGACACATTGCTTGTGTCTACTTGTAGCTATAAATTATAAAATACAAGTGATCATCAGATCAAAGCCTATTCTAATTAATTTCACATGATCTGAGTTTTTCTTGTTAAGTCAAAAAAAAATTTCCACCTCACCTGTCTGACGTAATGGCAATTACTAAATTACTCAAGAAAAAAATTAACTTAGTTGGGAATGTCTAAATAATCAGAAAAAATCGTGCAAATACATGTATCTTTTTAATAATACTACATGTATTAAGAAAAAGGCTCGTCATGTCATTTAATTTGTCGAAGCAGATCATCATTAACATTTCTTTGAGAAATTTCAGATGAACTAACTTAAAAAATAATCATAAATAATATCCGTAATATTTAATTGTATTGTATTCATGACTCTACAAAGATTATTATTGGTTGAAAAATTCTTTTGTCCGTATCATTAATAGAATTTTTAGTTCATATGTACTTTTGTTTTATTTTAGGTTTTTGCGCCTGCACATTTCCATTATTCCTTTATTCCTTTTATAACATATTTAAATGAAACAAATTGAATGTAAATTGTTCAACATTCAATGAAAATAAAACTGCTAAAAAGAATCATAAAGAAGCCAGATTTATGAGGGACTACTGGTATTTCTAATGGTGGAAGGATATTTAACGGAAAATTCTGCAAATCTGCACATTTATTAAATTTAATATCTTGGAACATTAGCCGCATAGACTCAGATAATATTTTCCGTTGTGATATCCTAGGAATATTAAATATAGATCTCAGTTTATATTTTTATAACCGATTTTACATCTTCCATCAACAATTTTTGCCGAGAAGTGAATATATATTAAAGAAGTTAAGATAAACCGGTTTTTTTGCCTGAAAATCGTTCATTTTGACCAATATTTCAAAATTTACATCAATGACCCCTACTTTTTCTTTCATTATTTTAAACTACTCGATACTTGTGACTGAACAGCACTTGATTCGTAAAAAGTTTGATACAAGAAAAATATTTTATTGTCTATTTAGATTTCTTATATCCCTTATATATATATTTTACTTTTTAGTGCAAAAAGGTCACACAATAATTTATGCGCATTAATTTGCAAGATTTTTTCAATGATAAATATTATTCAAACTAATTTATGTTAAATAAGAATATATTTATTGCCATGATTACATCTGATAAAATATGATGAAGGTTAAAGTGATTAACCAAAGAGTTAAGATGTAAGTGCAAAAAGGTCAACTTGATTGAATCGTAGTTCAGTAAGATTGCACACTAACCCCATGTTTTCTCAGCAATTTTGAGTTATACTACATGTACGAGTACATGAGTACTTGTTCAGTATATACTTCTGAAAAAAATCCTTGATATAACAAATTTCACGAGTGACGTACATTAAACAAAAACATGATCTGAATGATATTTAAAATAAATCATTATGTTTATGCAATACGTAGGCAAAATAATTAGCAACAGTTTTTTTTCAAATTAATTTTTAGTATTCGATATATCATATACTATATAATCGCCTCTTTGTGTATGTATGTTTAAAATAGTACATTTTTAGGGAAAATGAAATATTAAAATGTATTTGTATTTCATTTGAAATTATTCATTTATATATTTATTTGTTCTCCTCCAATGAGTTTTTGCAAACTCGAACAAAACGACATATCGTGATTTTAAAAGATTAATTAAACAAAAAGCACATTACATATTGTACGAGGGTTGTCCCGTAAAATCGTGGACAAAGCGTTTTTCTCGAAAAGTAATGGGCGCACTAAGCTGAAAATTTCAGTAAATGTTTCTTTATCATATTTAAGTGCATGATAATTTTTTTGAAAAAAATATAGGCAAAAATAAAGATTTTATTATGCTTGAATGTGCACGAGGTATTGTCCTACGGCGCACGGTAAAAAAAAAAAACAAGATTCATTAAAGAATACACAAGTTTTAATTCAAAATAAAAGTTTTAAATACATAAGATTTGGATTAAAATTATCCTAATTCAATTCCACAATCAATTTTGTAGTCTTTGTAAAAATTTTAAGGCATTTGCTTAATTTTGGCAGTTTCTCGAGCATTCGAAATGGGAAAATGGTAAACACAACACACGAAAAATGGCGACGTTTTAAGACGTTACGGCGCACCGGAGAACAGTTCAGTTTTATTTCGATGTTGTAATGACACTTTAGAGACTTGAAATGACCATAGAAGAAAAAAGATTATAAAAATATCACCATATCTTAAGTATAGAAATGAAATTGGAGTTTTTTTTAGCGAAGTTTTTTTGATCGAGTCCCTGGGGACTCAGTACAAAACATACGAACAAACTCCTAATGTAATAGCAAAAGACGCTGTCACAGTAGACCGGCGATATGAGATTTTCTGTTAGGTGAATGACATACTTGCCAACCTCTAGCATGTAAAAATCTGGTCATGACCAGATTTGGAAAGTAAAAAATCTGGTCATAACGCGTAACGACATTCACGACATAATTACCATGATTAAATTTTATAATATATATACAAAGTATTTGTGTATTGAGAATTCTTTTATTGAAAAGGGATTTAATTTACTATGACAAAAAAATTCATATATAATTTGATTTATTATTTACATGTTAAAAATGAGAATTGAAGGTTTCATATTTCAATATTGACCTGATTCAGAAGTATATAAGTGGTTTTTTTTAAAAGCCTTTTCACATGTTTCAGTTTCTGCTAAATTTGAAAGTATACCAATTTCAGTTTTGAAGTTATTTTTCCTCTCTCTTAACTAATTAACTAAATTAATGTAATATGTTTAAATGTGAAGTTAGGCCTACACTGTCTTCGATCACTTTATTTTATCTAGAATGAAAGTTTTTTTCCCCAAGATTCCTAGATATGTACATAAATATCGTTTCTCTTTTTTTTGGTTCAATCAGAGACATGTGTTTGGTTCAATTTGTTCCTGTTGACCCTGATAACGATCTAGTTCTATCGGAAGCCATTTTAATTGACTTCAAACATTGAATTGTCAAAACAACACCCAGTTAATTGTTTACACCTGCACTGATAATTAATCCATCGGCATTGTTTACGCGTAGATCTAAGCTTGGGTTTTAACTGGAAGTTAAAAGTGCAACCTAATTTACGAACCAAATCCGGAAATCGGGAGATTTTCGGGTTGTTTGGCAAAAATCGGGTGATAAGCATGACCCGCCGGGTCATAAAAAATAATCGGGTTACGGGTTAAAAAATCGGGTGTGACCCGACGAAATCAGGTGAGTTGGCAAGTATGGTGAATGATGGTGAGAAAATTGTCTGTAACTTACTAATAAATCTTCAGAAGATCGCATGAGGGTACCAATTGGTTCTTCTACTCTTTATGGAGACTAAAGAATGTGTATCAAAGAAATTCCTAAAATTAAGTCGGACTCACCCAACTTCATTTTCAGCAATGATAAAACGTGACGCTGTTTTAGGCACTTTGACGTTATATCCATGCGCCGTAAGGTGATACAATACATGGCATAAAATCTCATAATTTGTTTATTTATGCATATATTTATCTGAAATTTGCTATGTACCAAGGTATATTACTAAAATAAGTACTTAATCAGTCCAGTCCAATACGAAAATTAGTAATATTACGAAAAAACGTAAGATTACTAGAAAGCGTAATATTACAAGTTATCGTAATATAAAACTTATATTACAATTTTTCGTAATGTAGTTAAATAACAAATACGCGTAATATAGCAGATGTAAGAGACTATATTAATAGTTTTCGTAATCCAAGACAAATTCAAGCATTGTAAGAAATTGAGTGGCGGGTACGTAGCAAAGTATGACGTTTAATACGAGATGTCAAGGGCGATAACTTGTACGACTCTTACTGAGATTTGAATTCTGTGTATTTTAATAAGAATTGCAGAAACAGTTGAATTATGAGACGAGGGTGTGATTTTTAGGGTAGACTTCGCAAGAAAAGAATGGAGTTCGGGTGATATAGACCAATGCGACATGCTTAAGCGAATATTGAAATTTACTGGAAAATTGGTCTTATCCTTGGGAAAACTCCTATAAAAGAATAATAAAAGAAATTGTCCACTCACCCATTGCTGGCGGTACTTTCTTCTTAAATTTCCATGCTTTCTGATAGGCATAACTGACCAAACTGGCCGCATACTATCAGTAGCCGTCGAATCTGATATATTACTGACGTCATACTTTGCTACCCACCACGTACTCAATTTCTTGCAATGCTTGAATTTGTGTTGGATTACGAAAACTCGTAATATAGTCTCTTACAATTGGCTATATTTCGCGTATTTGTAATTTAACTACATTACAAAAAATTGTAATCTAAGTTTTATATTACAATAACTAGTAATATTACGCTTTCTCGTAATCTTATGTTTTTTCGTAATATTACGAATTTTTGTATTGGACTGGACTATGAATAATAGTGAAAATTTCAGAACGCAGTGTTGTTTATTTTTCACACTAGACAACTTGTCCACGATTTTACGGGACAACCCTTGTATAAAGAGTTACCGGTATGCTTAGGATAGTACCAAAACGGTCACATATTTTGGTAAACAAAGTTAACATGCTTATGGCGGAGTTGTGAATCTCTGATATTTATTTCTTAGCTATAATCTTAAAAATTCAGAGCAAAAATGTTTGAAAGGAAAACATGCTCAAAGTATATTGTCAGTCCATGCTCATAATAAATAAATAATTAACAACTACAGAGCTCATGCCCTGTTTACAAAACCAGTTTATGCTTCATCGATGGGTGTTTTCAGTTTGTTAATTAAACTCGATACAGAACACTGAGCACAGACTTATGATACTAGTGAGGGGTTTTTAATTTCGAAAATATCAACTCTGAAAATAAATTAATGCTTTGAAATCTGCTCTTTAGTATTGATCAATCATTTTATGATAAAATTTGCAAAATTTCCAAATATGTGGCCCCAGGGTTGGTGGTTCCTTTGGGATGACGTGCACAACTGGTTATAAAGTGGAAGTCTGACTCAGCGTTTTCTCTTTGTTACTCTGATCTACATCTGGGTATTAGGTAAATAGAGTATAAGCATGCTAAGTTTATAATTATGATAAGCAATGGTGCCTCTTTCAAAATTGTGAATTGTGAATTTCATGGCCTCTGGTTTAAGGTATTCAATCCCTAATGGGAACATATTCAGTGAAATTGAATACATAACTGATATGTAGGCATTGAATACTCAGTTTCTTTTAGACATATTTCCCATTTATTACTATTATAATTGTATAATGGGATGTGTCCTAATTTATGACCTTGAAATCTGGTAAGAGTTATCCCCCATATTTTTAATTAATAAAAAAAATCAATTAAAAAAATTTAGCCGGTAAAAAAATTGTTTTTATTTCTATTCTATTTTTAATGTTTAAATGCATCTTTCCACCACAGGATTTATTGGTATTCAAATTATTTGAATTTTTATTTTGAAAAAAAAACCACTTTCCTCCATAGACTTCAATGCAGTCTCTTTTAATTAACTACTGCTTAATTAATGACATTTTTAAAACTTTCTCACGGGCAATCCTTTTCCACTATAAAATGCTTTAATATAATATCAGTGTTTTATGTACTTGACGGACAATTAAGGGTAGGGAATTAGGTCCCATTAGGGATGGAAATCCTTAAAACACGAACCAATTTTAATTGTTTGAAAGTTGTTGCACGATACTCAGGAGACCTATAAGGCCGGTAGGCCTCTTGTTCATTAATGCACAACAAAATTGTCATTTAAGAATAAAATTATAATTTGTGAAAGTGCATGCACATGTCAATCAAATTTGACCAGAAATTTGAAGTTACTAGAACTTCAAGATGAAATGAGATATTTATTATTATACAATTAATTACCCCTTTTGTGGTCAACATGGTGAAATAAGGACCCTCGACCTGGCCCACGAGGTGACCTGACCTGACCGAGGCTGGGTAGTGGCCGAGGTCAGGGCAGGTCATCGAGTGGGCCAGGTTGAGGGTCCTTATTTCACCATATTGAACGCACAAGGGGTAATCAATTGTTTTATTATACCAATATATATTGAAAAGTATGAATCTCCAACTGTAATCAATTCTTTCTTTGATCGGGATCGGGATTCGTTACACTCCATTTAGTGAAGTTGTTTACATTGACGACTGCAAGTCGTGTAAGTTTTTGCATCATGATTTACCGATTAAAACAATATTTGGTTGATAGCAGCATACATTGTTATAACTAGCGATTACTTTTCCTCTACTGTGACAGTCAAAATCTAACAAAGAATTCAACTTTTTAAAAGGCCTAAGAATGGCTTCTACTTTCCATTGAACTGAATTGTAACAATATTTTTGAAATGAGTAAACCATATAAGTTACCGATAAAATTTTACCGTATTCTGTATGGTAATGCAAAACAAACCGTGCAAAATTTTAAAAACCGTGTTGTTTTTCTTGAATAATTATTATTTTATGCATTAACTTCACTCAAAAAGGAATTTTTGATTATTAATAAGAGTTCATTATTTAGCGGTCATTAATCACATGTATAATGACCGGGTCATTATATACCACTTGCAATTTTTCCAAGGTCATTATTGCTCAGAAAACTACCATTTGGAGTCATTGTTGTGTTGAAAGTTTTCTTTCTAGCCAATCAAATTCGAGTATTATCAATAGAGGTATAATTGTAAAATGCTATTGCAATATAAAAGTCATAATAATATACAGAAAATTTGAGAAAATATTAACTTCAAATCTGTGTCCATGCACCTTTTAAAACAATATCTTTGGGACAAATGCTCGTCAAAAGGTGTAATGCAAATAATCGTAAAGTAAAAGTCCAAAAAAATTATAAAAATGTATAATTTATTTTTTTTTCAATTATTCATATTTAAAAATATTTCCAAGGGCAAAAATTTTTCATGTATTCATGCATTTTTTCATTGTACACGTACACATTAAATGCTCTCCCTGATTTTCATAATTTGAGTATTTTATAAGGTAGCAATTCCATTTGAACTTTTTGCATCAGAATTATATATATTTTAACCAATTTTTACATATTCCCACTTATAATACTTTTCACTAAAAATTAATTTTTTTTAATGCTGGCATGCATACACTTTGTAAGGGTTAATGTACGAGTAGAGCTCCATTCCTTAAAAGTAATGGAGCCGAGAGTCCAATTACTTTTAAGGAGCAGAGGGCTTCGAGTATATTAACCCACATAGAATCCACTTTTTAGCTCACCTGAGCCAAAGGCTGATCACATTTTGTCCGGTGTCCATCTGTCTGTCTAGCTGTCTGTAAACTTTTACATTTTTGACTCCTTCTCAAGAACCACTGGTCCAATTTCAACCAAACTTGCAATAAAGCATTCTTGGGTAAAGGGGATTCAAGTTTGTTCAAATGAAGGGAATGAAGGGCCAAACCCTCATTCAAGGGGAGATAATTGGGAATACATGAAAATTTGGTGCTATCTTCTCAAGAAGCACTGTGCCAGGAAAATGAAACTTACGGGGAACCATCATCAGGTATTGTAGATTCAAGTTTGTTCAAATCATGACCCATGGGTGTAGGGCCGGGCCACAATGGCCAATCAAAGTTTTACATAGAAATGTCCAGAATTTTTTTTTAAAAAATCTTCTTCTCAAGAATAACAAAGCCATAATTGATCATACTTATATGGAAACATTCTCAGGTAGTGTAGATTCAAGTTTGTTCATATTATGACCACGGGGGGTAGGAAGGGGCCACAATGGCTGACCAAAGTTTTACATAGAAATATATAGGAAAATTCTTTAAAGATCTTCTCAAGAATTACAAAGCCATTATTCATCATATTTATATGGAATCATGCTCAAGTAGGGTAGATTCAAATTTGTTCAAATCATGACCCCCAGGGGTAGGGCGGGGCCAAAATGGCCGAACCAAAGTTTTTAAAGATATATATAGGAAATTTTTTTTAAAATCATTTTCTAAAAAATAGCAAATCCATGATTGGTCATGGGACTACTTTTGGATTTAAACTTTACAATAAAAAGCCATTTTCTACTTTTTCCTACCCTTAGTGCTCAGGTGAGCGATGTGGCCCATTGGCCTCTTGTCTGAAATGTTCAGTTTGGTTGAGAACAAGACACATGTATTTTGAAAAAAAATATTCTTTTTAGATACGATTTGTGTTATCAGTGGAGCCAAAATTTTGTTCATCGACCCTTTGTCTGAGCTTCAGGATCCAAACAAAGTTTGCAGTATTGCCCCAATAGCAAATTATGTGCATTCAAATGTGTGTGGTTCAAGGGGACTTGAACCATTGTACAATCTCTTTGGAATTAATGAACAGACAGCCAGAAATGGGGAGTTCAAAGGGACATTTTTCTGGTTTCCCCTTAGAAAATCACCATCACAATTGTCAGAAAATACATATTCACCTGAAAAAGTGGAAGATCTGTTCATGTCTTTTAAAGAAGAGATGAGCTCTGAGCTCTTATTTTTAACATCGATTGAAGAAATCGGAATATACAAAATTGAGAATGATAGTTGTGAATCTGAGTGTACTATTGCTATAGATCAAGGGTGTGCAGAGGAAACTAGAAATGAAAGGCAGTGCTATAAGGAAAAAATCAAAGACATAGAAGTCAATATGGCAGAAGATGATAGATGGATCAATCAATGCGACCCAGTATGGTTGAAAAGTATAGTTACATACAAGATCAGGATGAATGGAATAGAGACCCTCCAGGTATGGTTCATAGTTCAATATTTCCATGCAGGAAGTATGAATAAAGAGCTTTCAAATCTCATCAGAAATCGGCGATCTAAATACAGACCATATATTGGAGTTGCAGCCAGAGCTTGACAAACCTATTCAGTGCAGTCAGTTATTTTGCTCCTGCCTCTCCCATTTGAAGATGAAAGTTCTACTGGATTACCTCTTCACGTTAATGGATTCTTTGCTCTTGATAGTAACAGACAGCATCTTAAATGGCCATCCCATGATCAAAATGTAAGCCACTCACATTTAGAAAATGACATGCTGTGGAATGTACTAATGGTACAAGAAATTTTACCTGTTGTTTACGTTGAATTTCTTCAGTCGTGGCAAAATGATAGGTTTGGATCCGAGTTGAAGGAGAGATACCTGGAAATGTTTTATCATCACGTCCCAAGAATGTCAACAATAAGAAGTCATTGGGCATGTGTTGGAGAAAAAATGCACCAGTATCTACTTGAGTCCAAAATTCCTTGCCTCGAGAGTGGAAATTGGATTCACACTAAGGAAGCATATTTTGCCGTCTTTGCAGAGAACACGCAGGAAGAGGAGAAGAAAATTGTCACAGAACTTTATAAAAAATGTACAAAAAAGGTCGTAATTTTGAAAGAACACGAAGACCTCTTTTATTACTGGAGAGATTGTGATAGCAATGTTGATTTAAAGTGTACACATCCCAAAGAAACCAGAAATCTTCTTAGAGGAGACCCTACTTACAAACAATTACTTTCCAATAGTAAAGGTCACCTTCTAGTCTACATATGTAGAGATGAACTTCTCTCAGATTTAGATGGAATAGAGTTGTTACCTCTGCAAAATGGGAGATACGCAACTATGCAATCAAAAAAATACTGGCCTCAAAATACTTTTTTCTTATGCAATGAGGAAGAGCTGCAGATTCTGACTGGCAAAGAGAGTATTCTGGTTTTGAATACAGACACCACCTCAAAAATTGGAAAAGTTTTAGAGTCCCTTGCATCAACAGGTAATAATATAATAGAAATATCGGTTTCCAAGAAGGATAACAAAAGTTGACTTTCACATTTTTTGATATAATCAAATGCTCGTTGTTTTTTTTTGTACACATACAGCCTACTCTATTTTAAAATTCTACAAATATTTCAATATTTTGTTCATCTATAATACTGAACATATTAAATTGCTTTCTAGTCTTTTATATAAAATCTGTTTCTTTATGTTGCATTGAAAAGAAACTTCAACCTAAAATTCCCCACATTCATTTTGAAAATTTTTAGTACCTTTGTAGTTCTGTCTTAAAAACTTTAAACCTTCGATTGCCTTTAAACTATTGTGTCCCACATCTGCATTTCAGAAGCATTGGCCATGGAAGATGAAAATACATACATAATGTTAGATACTGTAGTCATAAAATATAGAGTTAAGCTGACAAAGGGAAATTAATAAATGTTAAAGTCAACTGTAAAGAAAAGAGAGAAGAATTGGCTTAATACATGTATTTAAAATCAAACGACTTTGGAAAACTTCACTGATATAGTTTAAGAACGAAGAAATGTTGAAATCACGAAATTACTGTTTAAATAATATGTATTTTTTTTATTTTGCAGGACACTATACATTCCACAAAATGAATGTTGATTCCTGTTTATGCTTTTTGAGGGAGATTATCCAACACCAGACAGAAAAAATCAGAGATCCGGTGTTTTTGAAGGATAGCGATGCTATATTTGGAGAACGTTGGTTAAAGAAAGTTTGGGCATATCTAAAACGCAATTGTTCTTCTTTGGATCTTATTCAGAATCTTAATATTATTAAAACCAAAGAATCAGGGGTACTCAAAAAAGTGTCTGAAGCATTTATCAGCGAAGTTGCTACAAATACTTTGCAAGTTGAAGTCTTGAAAAAATTCAAAATTTGGATAGTTGATATGAATTTCCATGACCATCCGTTACTTTCACCAGGGAGAGGAATTGTTGAAGAAAGTACAGATGATGGGAAGAGAAAGCTCTTACAACGTTGTATACATAATGGTATAAGTCCCTTTAACAACACCTGTTCGGATGCTGAGAGGGAGTGGTTCAAAGAATTCTTACCTGCTACTCTCTCAAAATCATTGATCTCGGCTTTGAAAGATCTTAAGTTATTCAAATGTTTTTCTAATGTCCAGAAATCAAGTCAAATTGGTTACAAATCCAAGAATGAGTGTTGTTATGTTTACGTTGGCGATAATGACTTTCCAATTCAGTTTCCAAAAGTAATGATTATGTCATCCACAAGAAAAGAGGAGCGACTTCTCTCTGATCTTTCATCAGCAAAAGTGGATCTTACAATCTGTGTACAGGAATCACTTGAAAAAATTACAAAAGGTCGAATTTCACTCAGTGAGGAAGATAAACGGAGGTTTTGTTTTTATGTTTTGGAAAAGCAGTCAATGCTTAGAAACTGGAAGATGATTCAAACCGATTTGAATGCAGTCAAATTTATAAGAAATGGAATGGGAAAACATGTACACCACTCTGCAAACGAACTTTATGATAGAAGGGATGAGTTGCTTCTAAAGCTTTTTCTTACAGAAAATAAATTCCCAGAAGAGGATACAGAAAAGATGGATTTGCTGAAACATTTGCAATTTCAGAATAGAAACAGTCCAACATTTAGAAATGATGTTGTGCAAACATGTAAGCTGATTCATTCAGCGAATGTTGATCCAGCTATCAAACTGAAAAAGTCAAATGCCCTTTTGCTGACTTTTCGACAAGACAGAAAACTGTTCCATTTGATTTGCAATTCGATTTGCGGGTTCAAAATTTTACCATTTAAGCAGGACAGGGGTGAAAAATACCCCCTTTCAATGGAATGGTATTCAAATCAAGAACAGTTTGTTTCCTTGGACGTGATTTACAGTTCAAAATTTGAATACATTGCTGGATCAGTTCTACCCACATCGACTCGAGAATGGGATGAACTTGTCGATACCAGTAAGGCACCTCAGTTGAATGCAGTCATACGACATTTTTTCCAGGCTACAAAATGTTATAGAGACGTTGAGCATGCAGGATATAATTACATAATGAGAGAAGTATATCAGTATTTAGCTAATGAAAATTGGGCACGTTTTGCGTCGTCAGTTCCTCAAAATTGCGTTTTCACTGACTTTGGATTTATGAATGCTGCAGATATTTACATTGAACGGAGCAAAGCAGATGTAGATTTAGCACCGTATTACATTCCACTACCAAAGGAGTACAACAGCTTGAAAGAATTTTTTGCTAGACTAGGTTGTAATAAAAACCAATCTTGTCATCTCCTCGTTGAAGCACTGAAAAAAATTAAAGAAATGCAATTGGAGGCAGAAGACATGAATTATGACTGCCAGGACTTGGATAAAGTTGAGAAAATTTTGAAGAAACTGTCAGAATTAACAGAAGAGGAATTATCTGCAATAAAGGAGGATATCCTGGTACCAATTCATAATCAAGATTCAGCTATCCTAACCTTTCGGTTTGCGCACGAATGTGCATACTCTGATTCAGATTGGTTCAGCAGGACGTTCACAGAAGAAGATAACATTTGTCTTGTTCATTCAAGGATTGACAAAGAGGTAGCAAAGAAACTTGGTGTGAAATCATTAAAAAAATTCACATTATCAGATGCAGAAGAAGTTTTCTCCGAATTTGGACAATCAGAACCATTAACCCAGCGTTTGAATCGACTTTTAGACGAAGGGTACACTGATGGATTGTCAGTTCCAAAGGAGCTGATTCAAAATGCGGACGATGCTGGAGCATCTGAAGTGTTTTTTCTCTATGACGAAAGAGAAAACAAGGATGCAAGAAGTTGTCTCATAGACCCTGGAATGGAAGGTTGTCAAGGACCAGCATTGTGGGCTTTCAATAATGCTGTTTTCTCTACCAGCGACTTTCAAAATATTCAAAAACTTAGTGGAGCAACAAAGAAAGAAGATACTACAAAAATAGGGAAATTTGGCTTAGGTTTTAATGCAGTTTACAACTTAACTGATGTTCCAAGTTTTGCAAGCGGAAATCATTTGGTATATTTAGATCCACATGGAAAATATTTAGGAGAGGCCATTATACATGAGAGAAGTCCAGGGATCAGGCTCAATCTTTTGAATAAAACCATGCTTCGTAAACTTGAAAACCAGTTTAAACCTTTTCAAAATGTGTTCGGATTCAAGTCTTCAGAATTTTCAGAAGAGAAAGGTTATAATGGAACATTGTTCAGATTTCCGTTGCGTACAAGACTTCAAGCTAGTGATAGTAAAATCAAAACTAAAGAATACTCTCGAGTGGAAATGGAAGAACTTATGAAATTGTTTTGCAAATCAAGTGGAAACATGCTCCTCTTCACTCAGAATATTAAAAAAATTAAACTCTTTCATGTCCGAGATATAAGTACAAATCCAGATAAAGATATGGAGCTGATACTTTCCATCGAAAAGGAGGAAAACTTTGAAAATTCAGTAACACTTGCCAATGAAAACATATTAAGTGCAGCTTCAAGGCAGTGTAGTAAATTTGACAAGTCCCTACACTTTTCACTAGTATGTAGAACAAAAATAACAATTTCTTCTTGGGGTCACTCATGGGTTAAAAATTTAGCATTCAAAGAAGAAACCAACTGGTTAATTATATGGGCACTTGGAAGAAGGCAGTCTTTAAAACTCTTCAGAGAGAAAAGTAGTGACGGAGCACTTCCGTTATCTAGCGTTGCAATTCCAGGGGATGTAGTGAATGGAAAATTTTTGCCTCATCTTCTTTGTGCAAGTTTATCTAATTTTCATAGGTATGGATTCTATAATACAAGCCATATGTTTTGTTTTTTGCCATTACCAATTTATACTCCATTAGCCTTTCATATCAATGGAACATTTGCTATATCATCTGATCGTAAGCGGTTACTGATGAGAACAGAAGATGACAAAGAAAATACAAAACAAACAGTGTGGAATAACTCTCTGATATCAGATGCAACGTTGGAGGCACTTCTTGAGCTCCTTAGTGTTTTGAAAAATACCACAACAGAAGATGACGTATTTTTTGAAATATGGCCAAAAGAAAGTAAGGAGTATTTCTGGCAGACATTTCAGGATGAATTTTACAGATGCATTGTGGAGCGTGAAATACCCTTATTCAAAACTCATCTTGGATTCAAAAAATTTCAGGATTGTGTATTTTTGCACAAAAATATAAAAGCAGACAAAGAATTACATCAAATTGCTATCGAAATTTTGAAGGAAACCCACTCAGATAGTAGAGTCATTACGGAGATACCTAATAACGTGTATAAAGAATTGGAACTCTGTCTCGGTGAAATCTTTTCTAAGCACGTAATTACTTATGAGAAGTTTATAACTGAAAACTTCTTGCCATATGTATCTCTTTTCCATGGGGAAAAATATGACCGTATTGTTCTGGGCGCAATAAGATAGAAATAATGTCATTCTTACAGCATTGAAAGAAGTAAATGTATTGCAACTTGTCCAAGTGGTACCAAAAAATCGCCTAAGAGCTTAGTGCATCCCCAGTGTGATGTATCTGGAATATTCAAAACGGAGGATGAGCGATTTCCTAACAATATATTTTGTAAAGACGATGACTTGGAAGTTCTTGTTGGACTTGGAATGATGAAATATGAAATACCATTTGAACTTTTGCATTCACAAACATTCGACATTATCAACTTGTCGAAACTATGTTCACTGTGTGCATTGCTCCGATCTAAAGAAATTGTGAGCTATATAAATAGGAAATTTGAAATCTTTACCAAGGAAAATTTAGACGAAATATCTGTCATTGCTTTTCTACCAGTGGGGAAAAAACCAATTCATTGGCCTGTAAAATGGTACAGTGATACTGGGAAGCAGCAACATTTAATGAAATGTAAAATGCACGTAAAAGATGCAGATGATATTGAATGGTTTGAAAAACCATGCAAATTGTATTTTCCTTCGGTACAAAAACTGGTTGGATCTTCACAAGCTGTGATAGGTAGATACGAAATGTATCATTATTGTGAAAGGGCACTACAATCACTTGGTGTGAGAAAGGAAAGAGATGTAGAATTGGAAACCCTAAAACATCAACTTATTGAAATAACAAAGGTTCCAGAAAGAGCGCAAAACAAAGATGTTGAAGAAATTTGCTATGAAATATATAGGGTTTTTGCACAACGAATATCGGAAACAGGCGTAAAAGATTTCATTCAGACAAATTTTTCAGATCTTTGTTGTATCATTACTGAAAAAAAATTCGCATTTCCAAAACAAGTCATCTTCTCTTTGAAACATGATTGCAGTCCTCACTTTTATGGTTTAAGACCAAAGGATGCCGATCGCTTTTCTTCTTTGCTGGAACTCTTTGGTGTTCGGGAATCATTTGATTCGGAGGATATTATTCACGTTTTGTTCACAATGAAGGAACATTATGGTGATACGAGAATGTCTAAAGAGGATTTGGGCTTAGTTTGTAGGATTGCAATGTTATTGGAAAATTGTGATTACATTTCAAAAGAAAACCTGTACCTTCCAGATTCAAATGGTTTCTTTTGTCATGTAAATGATTTGTGCATTGATGATTTTGACTGGATTACAAGAACCTCATCAATGAGATTTTTAAATATCGATTTACCACTTAAATTGGCAAAGGTGATAGGAATTAAATCCAAAAGAGACCACAGCATTTTGATGGATTCTGAAGAGCTTGGTGACGAATTCGGGCAACACGAAGAACTTACAACTCGAATAAAACGGATTTTGGACGGATATCCACAGGCTTGTATATTGAAGGAACTTCTTCAAAATGTGAGATGCTGGTGGTCAGAGCTCCATTTCATCAAAGATTTTAGATCACATGGTAAAAATTTTT